AGTGATGACACCCAGAAAGACATTATTCATTGGTGGCTATGTGAACCCACAATGAATTTTTTATACTCACCTAATCGAAGCGTTCCGAACTTTTATGGGTGTACGTGACACTGGGTGGTGCTGGTCCACTGATCTGTAGTCCCTTTTAAGACAAGAAGAACAAAGGCCTCTTTATATCACCCAACATTGACTGATAACTTGGAGAATCGAGAGCAATTATGAATTATTTGACTTTATCGGTGCATTATACACGATGACTCGATGCCCTTCTTATCAAATGACATCTCTTGTGTGAAATAGTCTACCTTGCTGAAAATTCACTGACAACGTGTTGCAATCTGCTCAAATATGCTGAATGAAATTCCCGCGCTAGATGATATGAACTATGTTGGCTCAGTAAATGTGGTTTCTTTACCGTCTGCTGTCACCCTTCTGAACATTTTACCCCATTCCATATGTAACGTCAGAGGTAACTCCTTTACAATGCTTTCTAGAGTTCCTAGAGTGTTGAGATCTGCTGAGTAATCCTTTTGATCTGAGGCTGTACAACAACTATTCATTTTTATTGCTAGCTTAGACAGAGTTGCCCCGTCATTGTGTTCTACACTGAAACCTTCAATGAAATCATTTAGCAAGTCATGGTAAACGTCATGTGTTTTGCAAAAAAACCATTCTAGTATATCGCGTACTCCACGATAATGAGACGATGGTGGAATCATGCTGCAATCCAGAAGGTCTACTCGAGCCTTTCCTTTACAATAATGTGACAAGGACAGGAACCACTAACCGTGATCTGTTGGGTGTTACATACCTGTTGAAATCGAGTGGTAATGCTTTCATTACTGTGAAGAGGCATCAGAGTCTTAGTCATTAAGAGTTTGGGTGTATTCCGGCATGATAAAGATGAGATATACAATTAGGCCCAAAAATATATAAACACAAAAGTAATTGCACGATATGTAGAAACGATGATTTAAAAATGACATAATGTTCCAAAAAGGAAAATTCACAGTATACTGTTTGGTGTACCAGCTCACGTCGCACTCACTACAATAAACGCCACAAGTATTCGGAGTTTGACAACGCCTTTACACGTAACACCGAAGTACACCAAAGCAGTCGAACCAGAATTGAAGACGTTCGAAGATACATTTGAAAAACTATTGATATATCGGGAAGCGTTTGAACTGAGCTGGCTAGTGGTTGAAAGGGATGCGTAGCACGGCTTACCCATTCGTGATCTGAGCGGATGCATAACCAAGCGCCTTCATCTAGTTGTGCCGAGTAAAACTAATCACATCAGTATCTAATGTCGAAGACGTAAAGAAGTATTTATTTAGGGACTTATTTACACCTGCAGGTATCACGTATGAATAAGTACTAGATAATACACCGTAACACTAATAAGCGCTTGCTCTCATCATTGAGATTTTTGAGTTTAACACCCCTTAACCCTAACTCTTAACTTCAAAGCTTCTTAACCCTAGCCTGCATAGAGGACTTTAAGGCTGTAATATTGGATATCATAAAACCTAACTTTCCACGTTAATGCTCCTGACCTCATGATATTGGCCATAACACTTCATTCCACAAGAAGGGTATCATCCAGTTCTTTCAAATACGAAATATTATGGAAATCGTGAGTTTCAGCAACAAACTATCCACAAAAACACTTAGGTTTTGTCAATCAGTCGGCTTAATTTTGATTGGTCGCTCAAGGCCATCGATATGTTTCGGTTGTGCTAGTATTTCTTAATCATAACTGTCATTTCGAACGATATATTTCCTTAGGTAGGAGAAGCTAAGTAAATACACTTCAACAAGTGATAACTCCTCTTCACCAAAGAATTGGATCAAGTCTCAATCCACATGGTGAGAACATTTCATAGAGAAAAAGTTCTATGGTTGACGTGTGATCATGAAGTTATTTTACTATTCATATGCACAATTACTTGCTTATGCGAGTCCGCCTTACCGGCTATCGGGGTACTGTCAGTCGAAATGATCACTTGGAACCTACCTCGGAAAGACTTTTTTTCCGTACAACTCTGAGCTGCTTGCTTCGAAACAGAATACCCACTATGCACGGGTTTCCTAATTCGTCTCATATAAGACTCGAATGGGAACGTTAAGTAACTATCTGAAGGTCCATATGCACGTACATCGTCAGGAAGGTGCTGTAAAGAATGAACATTGTAAACAAAGTTTTCGGACCCATAACAGCATTAATATTCTCTAATAAAGTTCCCTAAATCCATTCTGACGGATTCTGTAACGCTATTTTGTAATTTTGGACGTGCAAGCAAATAAACTGATAAATTTAAACGCTTGAAACCTGGATACAAAGGTTGCGGGAAAGTATTTCGCAGAATTACGAGGCCTAAATACAAAAGAAACACCCTACACTCCGACGCTTTCCATATAGTTACGAGGTCTGGTGTACGTCATTTAAGCTGAAAGTCGGACGGAGTACTTTCCACGCTACCAGATATTAACTTATTCATATCCCTAATTACACATGAGTTCAAATTCATTAGTCTTTTGTGTGCTAATTCTATACAGAAATAGATAAGTTTCTTTGTGACACCTAAGTACACCATGTGTATGGGATCTAATGGGAAAGAAGAGATTGGAAACGTTTCGGAAGTGGAATGGCCTTGGCGGTGAATAGATTGAGCCTGATGACGAATGCTGTCGTCATTTAGTAACGTATATTCAACATTTGGAAAAATAGTCTTCTCGTCGAGCCATCCACCAAATACAAACTAATAGCTATGTATTTTGTGAACTTAACACTAAGCAGACCCACGTCAGTCATTTCTTCTATCTCAGAAATGGTGTCCGCAGAAATTTCGTTGAATTCTGCTGGCTTAGTATTCCCTCCATAGATCCCTATCATGAACAAATCACTAAATCTTGAGGCAACGATCCGTCCTTATACTGGCCATAAATGTTGACTAGAGCTCCTTGAAATAGAAAGTCCGTCTATATTAATATACCAATCTAAAGTATCGGATTCTTAAGAACACAACTAAAGTTCAACATATCTTTGTAGGCTGTTTTCAATCCCAGATAATAGTAAACCCCACTGATGTTGAACTTTGGTTGGACACTTGTGCACGTCCTCAAGACACTTCTGATGCTGGTCGGTAAGTCCGGAGGCAGATCTCTGAAATCATTCAGAATACGATCAGCATATCTGATGCTGAGACAGGTTTTTGTCATTAAATTCATCAATATCTTGTTGATCTTCTCTTTAAGATTTATGGACTTCTAAGAGCACAAGTTGAATTCATGACATGCTATAAAAAATATATCAACGTATTCACTTCATACACGTACCATTATCATCCAGAAAAATTTCATTGTTGAAACTACCTTGTAGTGTTAAAGTTGAGGTAGTCTCATTAAAATTAATTTTTGTGCTGGCCGCCATTAATTCGACATAAATTACTGATAAAGTCAGTTACCTTTGATCGTACTTTCATTGGCCAACTTACTAGACGAAACCGATTTGCGTTTTACCATGAAATCTGTTCGTGACTTATTCCAACTTCTGTTTTAAGTCGATCTATGATAGCCGAGGACGCCTGACAAGTTAACAGTTGCCCTACGTCTACGAGCTCTCTCATTGACTTTAATTGAACTCATCTTAGAGGACTAACAAGGTAATCAGTTATAACGAACAAAAAAGGGAGCAAACCACTCACTTGCATCACGTAAGCTGTTATTGATGGCCACAAAGCATATCGGGACACTTTAGCTAAACAAACGAAAAAGCAAGTATATATGCACCTAAGAAAAACCTCTGTGTCCGTATTCGATTGCTTCTGTCAATGGTAATATTGTAGCTGTAAAAAATTTCCCAAAATCAATAGCTCCTTAAGTGTTCGACATTGGATACTGACCACATTGTTTTAAGTGGACTTGTTAACTGAAGGCGTTCAGTCGTGCATCCACACCAGATCACTTTACGATTCAGCGTGGGAAACAGCTCTCACGTTCACTAGCCAGATTATAGCAACCGCTCCTCGATATATTGATAACGCATCAGATATAATTTTCCCACCTCTTCGCATCTGACTTCTGATTTTAATCAAGCGGGTGACGCTTCAAATATCGGTGTTACTGGTTAATAGTTACCAAACCAGAATACTGGTCGTATCTCCAACATTCTTCAATGTCATTTGCCCGTGAGTTATTTTGTGGACGCTTTTCAACATATAAGAGGTGCGGCATATTCAAACACAGTACGTTACGTATAACTGTCTACAAATTTCCCCCAATACACGACGTAAAGGGAAAAATCGACATTTCCAGTTCATTTACGCTTTTATCCGCCTTATCTTCTACTTAAAGGGGGAAATTCTTTGTTGTTTGGGCAAACCGAATATGTACTCAAACGTTTGGGTTAGCTGCTGCTACTAAGCTCTGAGGTCAAACTCGTAGGTAGACTGCACTATCGATAGTTGTCGTGTTCTCAGGGTTCCCCCCGCCAAATGTCTTTTTAAAATGTTAGTTTTTGGAAAATAAAAACACTTCAATATATATTCGAGATCTCACACAAATCTTGGAATACTGAAACCCATCTCGATCAGAGTCAACTCCAAATTCATCGAGGCCCTTCGAGTGAAACAGTAATTCTCACTAGACAGGACTTTAACCCCGTGCTGTGTATATGTCACTACTAAGACCTACGAACCAGATCAGTTTTTCCTAACCACTATATCCATAAATGTTAATATTAACCTTTTGTTTGTTCGCTATTCCTGGCGCGACTATAATTTATGGGCGACCTTTAAACGAATCTTAAATGACCTTGGGAAATGTTAGCTAATCAGTAAACAGTCAGTATCTGGAATTTTGTTATTAAACCAGAAATACTTATATTCCCTTAACTTTATTTTTCAGCTGCTGATGTTTAATGTAAAACCGCCTCGATACAACGGCTTATCATCAATGCTAGGGCCCAATGTTAGTTAATCCTTCAAGGCGTAATAATGGATATTTTTGAATTTTATGCTGTCGTTTTTGTGATCGTTGTGTTGTATACATCTTTTCATAAATTGAAGCGGATTTTACATAAAAGTTTACGAAGGAGTCATAGTATTAGTGCTGAGTGCGAACCACAACGTTCTAATCATGAAGACCTTCTAGCATTGATGAATCGAAGCGTGAGACATTCGTTCAAAGGATTGCTTACTGTATTTAGAGTACCAAAGTGTCTATCTTTTACGGATCGCAGACAGGGACTGCTAAAAAATTCGCGATTAATCTTGGTCATCATCTTCACAACTGTGGCGTACGTAACTTGGTGATGGATTTGAGACAAACAAACATGGTAAGACCCAAGTATACAATCACTTCTGTTACTTCATATCATAGTGTCTAGATCATCTGATATGTATAAAAAGTGGTGTCTTGAAGACTTACAAAGAAATGAGTTTCTCAATAGATGAATTATCAGCAAATGCATTCAGTATTATCGAGCAAATGTTCATTATTCTATCGTTATGTTCATTTGTATGGGGTATATACTATCATACATGACATATAATATAGTACTAACTAGAAGAAAATACAGAGTTTTCTTCTAAGTACTCGTTTCTTAGTTCACTGTTTGGACTTGATCTAATCAGTTTTGTTCTTAGCTTTACTTATTGGCTAAGATTACCAACTTTCAGTCTAAGATTCTAATCCCTCCCATCTATTTCGGCTTGAAGAACAGCGCAATGCGATCAGCCCTCACACTCCAAATATGGTTCATAACCTGACGGATAAGTTAAAATTAAAAAGTAAAGTCGACCAAATTTTTGTTTATGGTTCCTTCCACTCGTTATGCGTTTAGTTAAAGCATTTTTATGATGAAAGAAAATAAGAGGAACAAAAATTTCGGTATTGTGTTGTTCCTTAAATAACGTAGCTTCTCAATGTCACACATTCTAAGAGTCAGACATTTATCTTTCTTCGTAATATTCGTCAAAATCTATTGACTCACTTGATTTTTTTCTCCTTGAAAAAATACAAGAACCTCAAAGTTGTTTTGCTTGCGAAAGACGTATGTGGTCATTTCTTCTCGTTTATTCAATCCACTTTTCAGTTTTAAATGTTTCTTTACCCGATTAAAGCATTTAGTCTATATTTATTACATAGTTAGATGTCTCATCATTTAATTGATTATTGTTACATAACTATAACAGAATACCGGTTATATTACAGGTTGGATTATGCTTCATTTGATTAACAGTAGGAACTACTGTAATGTTTTTTGTACCATTTTTGTTTCATTTAACGTAATTTGGTGGTTAAACCACTCAACTTTAAACCATAGAGTCGTGGGTTTCAACCACTTTTTCCTTTTTCAGTGTGGCAGACAATCTCATTAGCCCCTATACTGGGAAATGTGATTTAAGTTAGAGTACATATAACTTGGTCAGTGAGTTACATTAGTTAATATTTCCTCAAGTGGTGTTCGTCAGGGCTGTCCACTCTCATCATTATTGATTAACTTTGTAGTTGACATGCTTGACATGCCTGCTGCTCCGGCAACTTCAACCAGTTTGTCCTGCCCCCCATGGCCGGTGATGACTGATCCACCAAACGAGGCGGAAGTCCGCAAGGAACTTCAACTCTTGAAGCGCTACAAATCACCGGGCCCAGATGACTTACCTCCGGCTCTTTTTAAAGATGGTAGTGACTTTCTGGCTAAGGAACTGACGGTGTTGTTTACAAAGGTTTTGGAGCAAGAAAGTGTTCCAACATCATGGAATGAATCGATAGTCGTCCCTATCTTTAAAAAGGGTTCACGTTGTTCCTGTAACAACTATCGGGGGAGAAGTCTACTCCCGATTGCGTCCAATGTGCTAACGAGGTATGGCAACTTGGACCGATGCATTTATGTGCCTGGTCCTACGTTGTAGCTGACTGACTGACTGATTGCGTCCAAACTATTGGCTTCTATCATTCTTCGTAAGTTGTTTAAAACCCGAGAACGATTGACTCGCGAGGAACAGGCTGGTTTTCGTTCTGTTCGAGGATGCATTGATCACATCTTCACCTTCCGCCAAATGTTAGAACACCGTCATACTTATCGTAAGCCAACAACCGTATTGTTTCTTGATATCAGGGCTGCCTTCGATTCGTTGGACAGGACTGTTCTCTGGGATTGTCTATTGAAGAAGGGTGTGCCTGAAAAGTTCATTAACATCCTTAAGACCCTGTATACGAACACCGCAGGCAGAGTGAGGGCATACAACCACCTTTCTCCCTTGTTCCATTCGAGCAGTGGTGTTAGGCAGGGTTGCCCGATCTCACCATTCCTCTTCAACTTTGCCATCGACGACATCCTGGAAACAACTCTGATGGATGTAAGTAATGACGGTGTGGATATGTTGCCTGGAGAACGACTTCTCGACCTCGAGTATGCGGATGATATTGTCTTACTGTGCGATAATGCCCAAGGCATGCAATCCGCACTTAATCAGTTGGCAATCAGTGTCCGCAGGTACGGCATGTGCTTTGCACCCTCCAAGTGCATAGTACTCCTACAAGACTGGCAGGATTCTCATCCTGTACTCGCCCTAAATGGTGAGCAGATTGAAGTAGTTGAGAAGTTCGTTTATCTAGGTAGCTACATAAGTGCTGGTAGGGGCGTGAGTGATGAGATTGATGCACGTATAATGAAAGCCAGAGCGGCTTATGCCAATCTGGGCCATCTTTGGCACCTTCGTGATGTTAGTCTGGCTGTAAAAGGTCGGATCTACAATGCGTCGGTGAAAGCAGTTTTACTCTATGCTTGTGAAACCTGGCCTCTCCGAGTTGAGGATGTCAGACGACTCTCTGTGTTCGATCATCGTTGTCTCCGAAGGATTGCTGACATTCAGTAGCAACACCATGTTAGTAATGGAGAGGTTCGGCATCGTGTGTTCGGGTGCAGAGACGATAATTCAATTGGTGTCACCATCTTGAAACACCGACTTCGGTGGCTTGGACATGTTTTACGAATGTCGTCCCAGAGAATTCCACGTCGTGCATTATTTGCCGACTCTGGGACTGGTTGGAAAAAGCGGAGGAGGTCAGTGCATGACATGGTGTCATGGTATGAAAGAAAGCTGCAAAAGGCTAGCTTCTGTTGGTCCTTCACGACTCCCTGGCTGGGGTCCGAGAGATGGTGCAACACAGTGGCTAGAGACGTTATCAGATATGGCTCAGAATAGAAGCCAGTGGCGATCCTGCTGTAACCTTCTTCTACTTTCTACATAAAAAGTGGTTCTAACTTTCCTAACTGAGAGAGCTCTTCTGTTTGTACATTTCAGTCCGCCTTATCTTTTCATCCCTTATCTTCCTACTTTCATTATTTTGTGTGGCGCATATGTATCTGGTGCCCTTTTGTACCAATATATATGTAGGTATCATTACCAAGTCTTGATTTGATTATTTTGAATAAATTGAGCATTGGGTAGATTGTTTTAAATAAATTATATATTTGTAATATCCCAATGAGTAGAATTACAAATATTATATTATAAATATATAATCAATATATATGTGTTTAAATAATAAATAAATAAACATCCAAATTTAGAGGGGTTGAACTTCTACCAGGAGACTCACTTGTTGACTTAGAATACGCCGATGACATAGTTTTATTTGGTGAAGACGCTGACAAAATGCAGTCTTCTGACCACCAATAGCAACTACGCAGGCATGTTCGGGATGCGATTCTTCCACTCGAAATACAAAGTGTTACTCCAGGATTGGGTTGCATCGACACTCGAACTAATGATAGGGAGTGAAGTAGTTGATTGTGTTAACCGCTTCACGTATCTTGGGAGTCCCATCAGCCCTAGTGGTCTGGTGTGTGACGAAATCTCAGCACGGATACTGAAGGCTCGTCTAGCTGTCGCCAACTGGCGTCATTTATGGTGTAGGCGAGATATCCGTCTAGCAACCAAAGGACGGGTTTACTGTGCAGCAGTTCGTTCCGTCCTACTTTATGGCAGTGAAACATGGCCGATAAGAGTAGAGGATATTCGTAGGCTGTTAGTATTCGATCATAGGTGTCTCCGAAGCATTGCTCGTATATCCTGAGACCACCGAGTAAGTAATGCAGTTGTTAGGAAACAGGTACTAGGTCAGAATGGTAAATCGATTGATGAGGTAGGGAGACTTCATCAGTGGAGATGGCTGGGACACTTGTTACGTATGCCCAACCACCGACGTGCGATGTTTTATGGTGTAGGAATAGGGTGGGAAAAAGCTAGGGGCGATCAAACCAGAACGTGTCACAAATCCATGAAGTCATTGATAAGTGGACTGAGCCATGTTGGTAGGTGTAGACTACCTGGTTGGGATCCGCGAGATGATAACAACTGATGGTTAGAGACCTTGAATGATATGGCTCAAGATCGTTTGCAATGACGAAGGTGCATTCACTATTTGTGCTCTGCCAAATTCTAATCCTCTGAATTCTTCATGTCCCTATCTTTTTTCTGCTTTCAAATTTATTTCGCTGGATTATATTCCTTGAATAACATCTTCAAACCCTGATCTTTTGGATTACCACGTCTACCACTATGAGATTTGAATCGACATCTGCATCTCTGTGCTAGTGTGGTATGGCAACTCGAACTGATGTACGTACGTACGAAGTTTTACGTTGTGACTAACTGACTGATTTAGTTAATATGTTAATACGTTTACCAGCTTGAGTATTTGAGATTTATTCTGTTTTATAGTTCTGCTGAAGTTCATTTTACAATCTTTCATATGTAACATTAGAACTTTATTTATTTTATTAGGAAATATTAGTAAATTTGTCTATGCTGGACAATTGCGTAGCATTATTCGTTGTTGCAACTTATGGTGAAGGTGAACCAACAGATAGTGCTCGACAATTTATGGATAATCTAAAGAATTCTTACCAGAAGTTGGATAACCTACGTTTTGCGGTAATACTCTTAGTATTTACTAATCATTGTTATGCATAAGTTATTTTTATCTTTAAGGATGCCGGTGTAAATTATTGGGTTTTACTATAAAGATATTAAATAACGCAGAATATGTATAAGGAAAAACTAGTTGTTGGTCAGGATTGTTTTAATACTTAAGCACTAAAAATAAATTGGTAAGACTGTTGTGTTTGTCGATTAGTTCTAAATCCTTAGAACCTTAAAAGGATGTTAATCCAAATATTGCTTGTAACGAAGCTTTATTTATTTATTTATTTAATCACATATATATTGGTAGAAAGGGCACCGGATTCATATGCGCCACACAAAATAATGAGAATGGGAGGATAAGGAAGAAGATGCGTATATATAAAAGAAGAAAAAAAGGAAAAGGAGAAGAATAATGATGGGGGGGACTGAAATGTACAAACAGAAGAGCTCTCTCAGTTAGGAAAGTTAGAACCACTTTTTATGTAGAAAGTAGAAGAAGGTTACAGCAGGATCGCCACTGGCTTCTATTCTGAGCCATATCTGATAACGTCTCTAGCCACTGTGTTGCACCATCTCTCGGACCCCAGCCAGGGAGTCGTGAAGGACCAACAGAAGCTAGCCTTTTGCAGCTTTCTTTCATACCATGACACCATGTCATGCACTGACCTCCTCCGCTTTTTCCAACCAGTCCCAGAGTCGGCAAATAATGCACGACGTGGAATTCTCTGGGACGACATTCGTAAAACATGTCCAAGCCACCGAAGTCGGTGTTTCAAGATGGTGACACCAATTGAATTATCGTCTCTGCACCCGAACACACGATGCCGAACCTCTCCATTACTAACATGGTGTTGCTACTGAATGTCAGCAATCCTTCGGAGACAACGATGATCGAACACAGAGAGTCGTCTGACATCCTCAACTCGGAGAGGCCAGGTTTCACAAGCATAGAGTAAAACTGCTTTCACCGACGCATTGTAGATCCGACCTTTTACAGCCAGACTAACATCACGAAGGTGCCAAAGATGGCCCAGATTGGCATAAGCCGCTCTGGCTTTCATTATACGTGCATCAATCTCATCACTCACGCCCCTACCAGCACTTATGTAGCTACCTAGATAAACGAACTTCTCAACTACTTCAATCTGCTCACCATTTAGGGCGAGTACAGGATGAGAATCCTGCCAGTCTTGTAGGAGTACCATGCACTTGGAGGGTGCAAAGCACATGCCGTACCTGCGGACACTGATTGCCAACTGATTAAGTGCGGATTGCATGCCTTGGGCATTATCGCACAGTAAGACAATATCATCCGCATACTCGAGGTCGAGAAGTCGTTCTCCAGGCAACATATCCACACCGTCATTACTTACATCCATCAGAGTTGTTTCCAGGATGTCGTCGATGGCAAAGTTGAAGAGGAATGGTGAGATCGGGCAACCCTGCCTAACACCACTGCTCGAATGGAACAAGGGAGAAAGGTGGTTGTATGCCCTCACTCTGCCTGCGGTGTTCGTATACAGGGCCTTTCAGGCACACCCTTCTTCAATAGCCCATCATCCAAGACGTCGAGAAATGTTAGTGATTGGCAACCCATCATCCTCGTAGATTGTTTCACTCACACCAAACGTCTTGCTGCCAGTGGCTCGGATGAGTTGGAGGAGCTTCCGGCAGTTACCAGATGCAGCTGCTGCTTCCATTTCATTAGCACGCTCCGACCACCAGGCTTCTCGGTCCTTACGCAAGCTTTGCCCAATTTCATTACGTAACAGCCTTAGTTTGTGGTGATACTCACGCTCACCTGGAGTAGACCGACGGGCTTCGACCAATTGTAAAAAGCCAGAAGAAACCCAGTGCTTATAATTTGACGTTTCGCAAAGCCGCAAGCGACTTTACTCGCCATTTTTATGGCGTCGTGAAGATGCAACCAATGCTCATCTATGCCTTTCGGTGGGATGGTAGCTAGCATAGAAGCTAGCTCGATACTTACTTGCAACAGATGTTGCAGCCAGTTTACTAACATCGATCCGTTGGTGGTAGTCAATCCTTCGGCCACTGAAAAGTAAGGTGAGGTTGGCGCAGACCATGGCATGATCAGACTCCAGATAGGCACTCCAAAAGGAGCGGCAGTCGTGTACACAAACACGCTAGCGGTAGCTGATCGCGATGTTATCAATCGAGTCCAGGCTTGAGATGCAAAGGGAGGACGCTAGGTGGCACACCGGCGATGACTGTGCTGGAAGTTAGTGCTGGCCAGAAACAGGTTGTGGTCTGTGCACAGTTGCAGCAAACGGTCCCCGTTATCTGTCCTGCGACCAACAAGTCCCCATCGGCCACCTAAACGACTCTCTGTGCCTAGACGCCTGACCTGTGCATTCAAGTCTCCAGCTAATACTACGATATCTGTCGAACGCGCTTTCTGGAGAACAGTTAACTGATGGTAGAATTCATCCTTGATTGCATCCGGGCTGCAATCTGTCGGGGCATAGGCGGAGATAACGAAAAGACATCGTTTCTCACGCCGATTTCTTCTCACTTTGATGAGACCTTCTAATCTAACAGCACATAACCGACTGTTAATGGGGATCCAATCGATTAGTGCTGCCTCAGCCGTAGCGCTTAGTGCAACACCAACGCCTGCAAGACCAGACGAAGATGCCACAGAGTCCCCGGATAAGCGCACGTGAAACAAGCTTTTCGAGGCGACAGATGGAGAGCGAATTTGTAGTACTTCACTAGAGTCTTGAATACGGGTCTCGGATAGACAACAAACGTCAACATTAAGACCTTCCAAAGACATAGCCAGCCCTATCTGATCTGCATTAGTGTGCGAACGTTGAAGGAAGCCAGCTTGAACGGCGTACGTGGTTTCAGAAAGACTGCTTCAGTATTCATAATCGGTGGAAGCATTCACTTTCAACCAGACAGTGACTGGAGATCGTTTAGATAGGACAGATTTTCCACCAAGAGAGAGCTGCTGCATAAGTTGAAAAGTAAGGTTACACAAATTGGGGATAAAAGGGGGTGAATTAGCGATATGGTAAATAATAATAATGGCAATAATAATAATAATAGTAATAATGCAAATTGTTTTGTTTCTAGTATGAACGAGAATATAATTGTCAGTTGAATGTTCCATTTCATTTATTTGCGAGAGGGCTGTGGTACTGCCCGAGTGCCCAAAACGAAGCAGGTGGTTTTCTTAGGGGGCTACACCCCGAACCTTTGACCTGAAGGTCTAGTCCACAAGGCAGTGGAGCATCGTGAGGAGATGCAGTCCCATGGTAGCCAGTGACCAATAACTGGTTCATTCGCCATTTGTTCCTTCAGGATACGGGAGCCCATGTGCACCATTGGTTTTGAATCAGGGTTTTCCAACTCCCCTAGGTGGATCGTCCATATCCACCAACTCGGTTAAAGCGCCGGACATTCGCTTTTCGTCCTCTCAATTTCGTAAACAACACCGGGGACACGAGAAGGCAGTGAGTAGGACTTCCCTGTCTGACCGCGTATTAACAAGTCGCAGTTGAGTTTGGTGGTATACAAGTTCATGCAGTAATGTGTGATTAGTTGACCAGCTGTTAGCCGCTATATAATTGAAGATTTTTCACTCTACTCATTATGAGACTATGGTGCAAAATATTAATTAACTAGTTTGCTACTTGGAAAAGAATAATGTTCAAATGACGTAAATTTTAATATTAAGCTGTGGATTGATTATTACGATCAAGTGCAATTATAAAGGTAGCATACAATATAACACCTACTAAGTTTCTTATTTTAGCCTCAGTTATTAGTCGCAGAATCGAAAAACCCTGATCTTTAATTCCAGAAAACTCAACTGTGTGATGCGAACGGATAAAAACCACTCTGAAATACAGCTTTTCCACTTATTGACTAACGGTATGATTATGAATTGTGGTTATTGATATGAAGTTGCCGTCAATATTGATAACTAGAGGTTTGCTTTCATTCTCACAAAGTTTGAAAGTGTTGGCATTTCACAGAAACTGTGAAATAACCTCAAAATTGTGAAAAGCCGTTTTAAAGTTCTATGTTCTTCATAAGTTTACTAACTTTTAATGTTTCAGTATGACCTCTGGCGTAAATGTCATTGAGGCTTATAGATCTCTGTAGAAATCTCTACTGTACATTAAATAATGAACATATGTAGAAGTAATTGGTTGTAGATATAAAATTTCATGGACAAAATCCTTACTTGTCTAATTTTTTAAAACTTTAAAATCCTATCTCATTATAGGTTTTCGGGTTGGGCAACAGTATGTATACGTATTTCAATGCTGTCGGAAAGTCAATTGACCGTTTGCTTATTCAACATGGAGGTAAACGTTTACAAACATTGACTTTGGGAGATGAAGTGAATGAATTAGAATCTACGTTTTTGAATTGGAGGAGTCACTTAACTTCGTTATTGATCGAATTTTTTTATCTAAATGACCATGATAGAAATTACTTAAATAAGCAATATAAACGAATGTACTCTTTAAAACGTTTTAACTGGAATGTCCCACTTGTTTCACACTTTGTGAATATGTTTATAAATAAGGCTCACGTTAAGGAAACGTTGTAAGTTTTCATTTTTAAGCACTAAAGTTGTTCATAACCATTCAGACTCAGGATTGCAAAATATTAAATTTAAGCTGTTTATTACTAATTTGCATCAGGGTATCCTTCTAAAGCAGACTTAAGTCGTTGCTGTCGTCACTAAAGAATAATTTTGTATCTTTCACTATCGAATGATAACACAAATTATTTTCAGAATAACTACGAAATAAAACTGTAATTATGAATTGAGTTGTTTCCAAAAGTAAGATCAATTTGTGGTAGTTTTCATCACGTGATGACATCAGCTGGAGAGTCACTAAAAAACTAGGAAGTGCTGGACAGCTATCGCGTTCGTTCTGGTTTATAAAAACTCGGCAGTGTTGACACGTACGCGACAAAGTCAAAGACAGAACCTAGGACCATCCGGTCTCTGCTAGCGCATTATTTTCACAACTCTGAGTTGAGGTTTAGTGATCTCAATTTCCAAATTAAATTAATTGGTAGTCTTGCTTGCACATGCACTTCTTGCGCAACATGTATATTCTTAGCTTTCGCAGTTCGTTAATTGAAAATCATTGTAGGCTAACTTTTTTGGACAAAAATTCATGGTAAATACCATGTATATTCGCAGTTTTTTGATGTCCATAATGACAGATTAGTTTTGGCATCATTAGCGAAATAAAAACATAATAGAAGATGGTCCTAACTTGAAAAAAATGTGTATTCACACAGTTTTATAATAAATGACATTGAACAAATATGTAAAATGATAAACATATCGATTAAGTGGATAGTTGTTTTTCATTAACTTCTTCATCGGTTATTAGGGTTATGTATATGTAAGGTGGCGGTTTGAGGTATTCAACAGAAAAATATGAACTTGGATTTCGTGTTACTTGGGACTCGTCTGCAAGGTGTACCTGCAATCTTGGGGGGACTGACATCCCTTGGCGAGTTTGCCCCGTGTTTTTATAATTCTTGTGTTACAGTTGCAAAATAACACATACATGAGGAAGTTAATTAAACTACTATATGCTGAAAGTAATAAACTTTTGTTCGGTTAAGGATTAACTACACTTGAAATGTTTTATTTGTGAAGCATAATGATTGTGCACTCAGATATTTTGTTTTTCTGGTTACTGTGTCTCGTTCTTTAAATTGTTGCTTCCAAAGTGAAACTATCAACGAACAGTGGTTTTTTATTACAAAGTAGAAGTAAAATGACTGCTTTTATGTACTCTGACAAATAATAACTGATTAAAGGAAGTTAAGTCTTTCCTAGACAGTAAAATACGATCAGATAAATTATATGACAAAATAATGATTACTTGTAAGTAATATTGTCAAATTACACAGGTTTTACAAACAATGACTTGTGTTTTCATTTCTAAATGCCTAGAAAAATGTTATTAATCCCATTCTGACATTGTTGTATACTATGCCGATAGACATCATTTCAACTTTCACCTTGCTGTGTCGTTAAATAACAGTAATAATGCAAGGAAAGTTTGGACAAAATGAAAGCGATATCAAATCCTCTAATGTAAAGTGACTTTTATGCTAATCTAAAAAGTAGACGGTATGTTTAACATACTGAGCCTAATAAATTGGTGCAAATATTTTTCGTTATTACGCGGGGGGGCATAGTTGAGTAGTTTATTTGTAATGCTGTTGGTAAGATACATCAAATAACTATCATTTCCATTTTATATCTGAACGTTCTTCAGAGTTTTGATAGCTGAAAATCGATCAGACTTGTGTTCGATTAATAGTAGGGATTTTAACTACGATATGTAGCTTTGTTTTATACGTTGCTTATGATTTACTTACTTACTTTCGCCTGTTAATCCCAATGGAGCATAGGCCGCCGACTAGCTTTCTCCAACCCACTCTGTCCTGGACCTTCTTTTCTAATTCTATCCAGTTCTTGTTCATTCTTCTCATGTCTGTCTCTATTTCTCGGCGTAATGTGTTCTTTGGTCTTCCTCTTCTCCTTTGACCTTCGGGATTCCATGTGAGGGCCTGTCTTGTGACGCAATTGGGTGATTTCCTCAAAGTGTGCCCAATCCACTTCCAGCGCTTCCTCCTGATTTCTTCCTCCGCTGGAATCTGGTTTGTTGTCTCCCACAGTATCTTGTTGCTGATAGTGTCTGGCCATCGGATCCGAAGTATCTTGCGTAGACAACTGTTAATAAACACTTGTATCTTCTGGATAATGGCTTTCGTAGTTCTCCACGTCTCCGCCCCATACAATAGAACTGTCTTGACATTTGTATTGAAAATTCTAACCTTGGTGTTGGTTGACAATTGTTTTGAGCTCCAGATGTTTTTCAGTTGTAAGTATGCTGCTCTTGCTTTGCCGATCCTCGCCCTCACATCTGCATCTGATCCACCGTGTTCATCAATGATGCTGCCCAGATATGTAAAGGTTTCCACATCCTCCAAAGCTTCTCCGTCAAGTGTAATTTGATTGGTGCATATTGTATTGTATCGGAGAGTCTTGCTTTTCTCTTTGTTTATATTGAGACCTACTGCTTCTGAGGCTGCTGCTACACTGGTCGTCATCTCCTGCATTTGTTGTTGCGTTTGTGATAGAAGAGCCAGATCATCCGCGAAGTCTAAATCGTCAAGTTGCATCCTGCCTGTCCACTGTATCCCGTGCTTTCCTCCAGTAGTTGACGTCTTCATGATCCAGTGGATGACCAGGAGAAAGAGAAAGGGTGAGAGTAAGCAACCTTGCCTTACACCAGTCTTTACTTCAAACGAGTCGGTGAGTTGTCCTCCGTGGACAATTTGGCAGTTTAGTCCATCATAGGAGTTCCGTATGATATTGACTATCTTCTCAGGCACGCCGTAGTGTCGAAGAAGCTTCCATAGTGTCGTCCTGTCCACGCTATCAAATGCCTTCTCGTAGTCGATGAAGTTGATGTAGAGTGATGAATTCCATTCGATTGATTGTTCCACAATGATACGTAGAGTTGTGATTTGATCTGTGCACGATCTATCCTTACAAAATCCAGCTTGATGATCTCGAAGTTGGGCGTCCACGGAATCCTTCATCCTGTTTAACAATACCCTGTTGAAGACTTTCCCTGGTATTGAGAGGAGAGTGATGCCATTGTAGTTGTCGCACTTGCTAAGATCACCTTTCTTTGGTATTTTGATAAGAAGTCCTTTTTTCCTGTCTGTTGAAACTTGTTCTTCGTCCCAAATCTTACTGAAGAGGATGTGTAGTATCTTGGCAGTTGCTGCTACATTTGCTTTCAGTGCCTCTGCCGGGATGTTGTCTGGTCCCGCTGCTTTGCCGCTCTTGATTTGTCTAATGGCCATGCTGATCTCTTCAATTGTTGGTGGGCCAACATCAATTGGGAGGTCTGTGGGTGCTGCTTCGATGTTGGCTGGGTTCAGTGGGGCTGGTCGATTTAAGAGTTCTTTGAAGTGTTCTACCCACCTGTTACGTTGTTCTTCAATGTCGGTGATTACTTTGCCTTCCTTGTTTTTCACTGGTCTTTCTGGTTTACGGTAATTTCCAGCAAGTTTCTTTGTTGTATTATACAATTGTCTCATGTTTCCTTCTCTTGCAGCTTTTTCCGCTGTCGTTGCTAAATCTTCCACATATTTACGTTTGTCGGTTATGATGCTCCTCTTCAATTGCTTGTTTGCCTCTGTGTATTTGGCTTGTGCCTTGGCTTTTTCCGCTCTGGTTCGGCTGATATTGATTGCTGCCTTCTTGTTCCTCCTTTCTTCAATCTTATCCAGTGTATCAACAGTGATCCATTCCTTGTGATGGTGCTTCATTTTGCCCAGAACCTCTTGACACGTTGAAACGATTGCCTCCTTGATACCTTTCCAGTTGCTCTCCATGGTAGTCCCCTCTCCATTGAGTGGGTCATGAAAGGCCTCGATCCTGTTGCTGAGGGCTATGTTGAATTTGTTGAGTTTGTCAGCATCTCGAAGAAAGGCCGTATTAAACTTTTGTGATGTTGTCCGCACAGTTGTCCACTGCTTATTGAGTTTTAGTTTCATCTTGGCGACCAGCAAATTATGATCGGATGCTATAGCAGCACCTCTTCTGGTTCTCACATCCTCCATCGTCCTCCTGAACTTTTTGTTGATGCAGATATGGTCGATTTGATTCTGTGTAGTGTGATCCGGTGAAATCCAAGTGGCTTTGTGTATGTTTTTGTGTGGGAATATGGTGCCACCTATGACCAGTTTATTGAAGGCATATAGGTTTGCAAATCTCTCACCATTTTCGTTCCTTTCTCCCAGTCCATGTTGTCCCATGACGTCTTCGTATCCAGTGTTGTCCATTCCAACCTTGGCATTGAGATCTCCCATCAGAATGGTCAGGTCTTTGGTTGGGCATTTCTCGAAGATCGACTGCAGCCTGTCGTAGAATTGGTCTTTAGCGTCTTCATCGTAGTCATTGGTAGGCGCATAGCATTGAATGACGTTCATAGTAATGCCCTCTCTCTTTGTTTTGAAGGAGGCTTTGATGATCCTTGGTCCATGAGATTCCCATTCAATAAGTGCATTTTGTGCTTTTCTGGACAGCATCAATGCAACTCCTTGTGTATGTGGGGCATTTTCTTCTTCACGACCGGAATATAACAGAAGTTCTCCTGAAGACAGTCGTTGTTGTCCAACCTGCGTCCAATGTGTTTCGCTGATTCCAAGAACCTCCAGGTTGTATTTTCTCATTTCTGCAGCAATTTGGAAGACTCTTCCGGTTTCCCACATTGTCCGGACATTCCATGTACCTATAAAAATTGTTGCTCTGGTTGTAAGAAGGTGCATCGGCCTCATGACTTCCGATGGAGCTCGGCTTTCATCATGAGACGTCATAATTATTCCTTCTACTCCCAGGGCAGAGTTTGAAAGGTTTGAATGATTTTTTCTGCTTAGCGTTTTTTTAGCGAGTTGATTTTCTACGGGATGGGGTCGCTAACCCCATGCCCAACCCTCCTCCTTTACCCGCGCTTGGGACCGGCAGTAACCCTTATGATGATTTACATTCTTCGAAACTTGGAATTCAATGATCTCAAACATCTGTTAAATAGAGATGAATCACTCCAACAAGTTAGTAATCCTGGAGTAATATTTTACATTTGGACGGACAAAACCGCATCCAAAGCATGGCCATATTGTTGCTTACGATGGTCAGAAAGCTGAATTTCATCAGCGTCTTCGCCAAAGAGAACCATATCTGCGTATTTGAAGTCAAAAAGTGAATCTCCTGGTAGAAGATCAATTCCTGAAAAGTCAGACGATGAAAGTGTTATCTCTGAAAAGACGTCTATGGCAAAGTTAAATATAAATGGAGGAAGCGGACAATCCTGACGAACATCCCTTGAAGTATCTACCTCGAGTCAAGAGCCTATATAAGGTTAATGTAATTCTTTGGTGCGCCTTTGAATGACAGGCATGGCCATAGAACCTCACGGTCAATCTAGTCGAACGCTACCCTAATGTCAACAAATACAACTACAGTTGGACGTCAGAAAGTTTGTCTATGTTCCAGAATCTGCCGAAGCGTAGATATTCGCTCTATACATCCACGTCCACATCTGAAACTAGCCTGTTTTTCTTGGGTTTGTTCTTCATGGGCTCTAGTCAGACGTCGAAGTATTATTGAGGCTAACATTTTAGACACTATATTAATTAAAGTGATTCCTGTGTGATTGTCACAAGAGAGCTTTTGTCCATTTTCATGAATTGAGACGATCAGCGATAGAGACCAGCTAGGTGGGATTACGTCTAGTTCCTAGATTTTAGCTAAGATTTCGGTTAGTCTAACTGCCGAAGCTGAACCACCATCCTTAAAAGTCTCAGATGCTAGTCCATCAAGCCCTGATGCTCCTCTTTGCTTTCGGTTACTTACAGCCGTTTTGACTTTACTAAGGGTTAAAGGACTACGTTTTGTTTGAGGAAAGTGGGTAACTGAAGTGTGACTAAGGGTTAGCTGAACTCACACAACTTTGTTGAATAACGTAGAAGTCCACGTGTTGAACAGCTTTTCTAGGTTCACCTTATTAATAGACCAATGTTTTCTCTTAGGATTTAGATAATACTTCAACAATTGTCATTGACTTGTAAAGCTAAAATATATCACGTTTTTCATCTGTAATTCCACAGTTTATGTGATCTTAAAACTTATTCAGAATTAGTATAACATTTTATTAGCGTTGTTTTTGACATTTTAAAAGTAACTGATGTTGTTTAAAACATTACGTTGTTTATTCAAACTTTCTGTTTGTAATCTATGCAGACCGATTAATAAATCGCAAAGATAAAAAAGAAGTTAGTGCCATAATTTTTTAGACTTATTATGTTATTCATACGACGTGGTTTTAATTTTAGACCATATGAAAACGACAATTATTTCTATGCTTCTGTCGCTGTTAATCAAGAATTGTATCATAAAAGTTCACGTTCTTGTCGCCATATTGAATTGGATGTGTCTGCTTCTCAACTTAGGTATGATTATTCATTATCACCACCATTTTATTATGTTTCTAATATGAAAAAGGAATTATTTTTACGGTCTACAGTGCAGATTGAACAATAAGGTTCATTATTGCTGATACTATAGTTCAAGGTTCCTCAATTTAGTCGTTATACGTCAATAATTATTTTTATTATATTTGCTTTAATGATAGAATTCTAATTACCGTATCGATTTTTGGTCAGCTAAATTTTATTTTGTGGTTTAGAGCTATGTAGAAAAAAAATGCTGAATTGGACTTCTTATTTAGAATTCATATTAACTAGTCAATGTGGCCAGCGTTTATATAGTTCTATTATTTTTGATTTCATATAACTCGAAAAATGTTATTTTAAAAATCTAGCATTTATTGTTCAAATTTCTGCTTGTTTATGCCCCATCAATTAGCTACGGCTATTTAGTTGAAAAATTATGAAGTTGAAAACCTTTTAGGAATTGTATCAAAGCAGCATGTAGTGTTTACTTCGGATTTTTATACCTTAGTCAACTGTAACGAACAAAGTGGTTAAAGGCAGTTAAAGGCAACGTAAAATCAGGCATATATATATATATATATATATATATATATATATATATATATATATATATATAGGATGTCTAGCTTCATCCCGACCTGCTTCTGCACCAGCTAACATCGCTTATCGGACTAGACTGTGGTTAGTTTTAAGCATTACATCTCCAAACCACTTCAGTTGATGAAGATTCACAACCAATCTACCGTCTTTATACCCTACCCCAACCTCAGCATTTCTCACACGGTCGTTCCACGAGGACAAGTAATTGAATATTAGTATTCTACAGTACTACAGAAAGGCGGAGTAGAATTCTACTTAATATACTCCTTTTCTCGCCTTTAGGAGTGAGTTATTTATTGAGAAAGTGGTTTAATCCTTTCGATTCTAAAGTTTGCCTGGTATTCATTTGTTGATGAAAGTATGTGCAAATGTTTCTTAAAGAAAATGCTTATTTAATTTCTGTGTAAGTATAAGAAATACTAGTTGAATAAAATAACTACAGTTTTTCATTAACGTAGCTTCAATTGTCATAAGAATAATGTAAATTACAGTTCTCTATACCCCCATCTTGTTGTCATCTTTTGAATGCCTGTTTACGCTTGTCTGGTTAAATTAACAATGGCATTTAGTAAACAGGCCCTTTGAAAAAGCACTTGTTAACTTTGTAGTCATAATTTTTAATACTTTAACAGCGTCTATCCCTTTTTTCAAAAAAAAGGAATGAACAATAACCAGCGAAATTTCAGTGTTCTTGTCTTAATGTAAGATGAAAAATTTATCATTAAATAGCTGTTATTTTATTTATTTATTTGAACACATAAATATTGTTCAGAAGGGGTTTTGTGGAGATTTCAGTATTTTCATAGTTGAAATCATTAGTCAATTGAAGCTAGACCACCATGGAAAACCTGGAAGCACTGGACGGCCGTTTCGTCCTATTATGGGACTCCACAGAAGTGCGCATCCACGATCCCGCACTCGCGAGATTCCAACCCAAGAGCTGGTTTGGTTGAAGTTAGACATTAACACCGTTGGGTGCCGCCTTAGTGGTCTATCGGTTAAGTGCTCCGGCGCGAGACTGGTGGGTCGTCCAGTGCTTTCAGGTTTTCCATGGTGGTCTAGCTTCAACTGACTCATGATTTCAACTATGAACATAAATATTGGTAAAAAGGGGCACTGAATGCATATGCGTCACACAAGTCACTTGATTTATGTGTGGGCTGTGATACTGCTAGGGTGCTTAGACGGAAGCAGGACTGTTATTTTAATGTTCTTCTAAGTTTTCTTTTGAAAATCGTTTGCTTTTTTCATGGTTTACAACGCCCTATATTTGAGATTGTAATTTATTTTGTATGTTTAATAGTTACTATTTCATCGAGGTGGCATGCTTACTGTTTGTTGGAGTGTTTCTTGTTTGGAGAGTGTTAAATTTTATAAAACTAAATGAACTGAAGTCATATCCTAATAAAAAATATCAATACAAAATGTTAATCGTTTTATTTAAAATCAAAAGGTATATATATATATATATATATATATATTGTCAATGTCAATTTCGTAAATTGTATTATTTGGTAATTTATTTCAACAAATACACTCTTTTTTCGTATCAGATATAAAACTGGTGATCATATTGCAATATTTGCATCAAATCCTTTAGATCTTGTCGAAAAAATTGGGGATCTCCTAAACATTGATTTGAATGAAATGATTAGTTTAGATGCTGTTGATCGTAAGTGTTTCCAGCAGTGTTTTACCGTAAATTTTTAGTAAAATTGAGATTTATGTTGCACATTCCATATCATAGTTAAATGAATACAAACCAATGTAAGTGTTACTTTTAAAAAGCTGCGAAAGAAATGAGTGATAATTTTCCATATCGTTTATGATGAATATCTGAATTTTTAATTTGCATTTACTCTCAGATTTTCTAATAATTAGATTTGTGCGTTGTGCCCACTAATTGACAATCGCTAGATAGTTCGTAAGTTCTTAAATAGATGCACTCCATTCGTTTGGTCATTTAGGTTTCATTCAGTAATTAACTAGTTACAATTTTACTTCGTATACAGAAGTTTATGGAGGTGCGTTGTATCACTAGTTCACATACACGTTAACTATACTTCGTTGTGTAATACACTATTTTTTATACTGACTGGTTAGATGTACAGAAAATGTTTCTTGAGTTGACACTCATATGTTGAAATAAAGTCAGTCAACATCATTAGATTGTTTACGTAGTTAGTACACAACTCACATCAAATTTTCTCTCATTGTTCTAAACTGATTTAAGATACTTTTTGAATTTTCTATTCTTTGTGATCTAAAATTTAGGGTGATAGTATTCAGTGGCCCTATATCTGACTCCAATTGGGTCATTTTTACTCGTTATCGATGTATACATGTCGTCAATCCTCGTATATAATTATTGACTTCATCCGCGTTAGTGAGTTACGGAATTAAATAAGCCAAATACGAGAATGGATTTTTGAATGCGTTTGTTTTGTACACTCATTTAGTTAAACAGACAATTAGAAGAATGAAACGAAGAAAAAAACGAAGCGAAATGACGTGTAATGGAGATGGTGTGTGAGTTAACTCGATTCAGTCAAGTGTTAATCAGTATTCATAGTCACATAAAAATAAGCTACGGACATGTAATGAGTAAGATAAGATGTACTCACATACGCTCATATAAAAACAGTCGGGGTTGATAAGTGAATGATTGACAAGGTCAAAATGTGACTCAAGAAGGATGAATAAATTGGCCTGTCCAGAAGCCAGAATAAGTTATGTGGGCTTAACGTGGTAACCGACACTACAAGTATGCCAGCGCAAGGTGCTGCATTTCAAAGTCTCTTTGTAAAAATGACAAAATGAGTAGATCAGGATGATACAATTAAAAACTACTAGATATAAACATATTGAAAAGGAAGAAAGTGGCAAATTACTATCGCGTTAGGGACTAGATTTTTTGAAAGGTGATCATTTCTTCAGTAGTAACAATTACCATAGCGTTTTGTAGATGTATGTGAGGTTTCTTCACTCTTTCCTATACATTTCTGATAATCCATGGATTTATGTATTCTATTTGATTAGCTTATAATTTAACAAAGCATCCTTTCCCCTGCCCATGTACCTATCGTCATGCATTTATGCACTTTGTTGATATTACTGGACCTCCTGGAAAGAGTTTATTATCCGCATGTTTAGATTCAATCACGAATTCTAAAGAATCACAGTTTGTTCAGCTTCTTATTTCTGATAGTGAAGATGGAAAAGTACGTTCTATCTGTTTGTACGGCAAAACATTTCATGACTTTCTTTAAACATATATCTCTAAGACCCTAAATCCCTATGTATGATAATAATTTGATGTTGACACATCTCTTCCTTATAATGTTTAAATAAAGCTGTTTCTGTACTTATAGTCTGTTTATTAAATATTTAATAACAAAGTTTTGATTATTAGATATCATCTCTTTGTTGAGTCGCGCGCAACTTTTCACTTTGAATAAATACTTGCTTATACCTGTTCTTCTGATGTTTGCTTCCCACTCCTGATGCAATATGTTCTTTGGTCTGCTTCTTTCCTTTTAGCCTCAAGGATTCAAGTTAGGGCTTGCCTCGTGGTGTAATTTGAAGACTTCCTCAGCATGTATCCTATCCACTTCTTACGTTTTTTCCTAATTTTCTCATCAGTTTGAAACTCATTTGTCCTCTGCCACAGTAGATTACAGCTGATGATGTCTGACCAACGGGTCTGGAATATCATGCGTAGGCAACAGTTCATAAATACCTACAGTTTTCTGGTGGTTGTAGTAGTTTTCCAACCTTTCAAAACCACTATCCATAAAAATTACTTGAGATAACCTTGTAATTATAATAAGTCTTGTATTTGAATGCTTAGGTAACAGACGCCTAATTGTTCCTTATTCCCTAGAAATTTCGCGGTTTTAAACCTCGAACGAAAAACTGAATATGGAACATGTAGAAGAGGTCCTACTTTGAGGCTTTGATTATGGTCAGATGTATGTGTGAATTCGTCACTCCCTGGTGGCACACACCCGTGAAGAGATATCTCTTCTTAAAGTTCCCTAGAAGAGGACTGGCCTAGTAGTAGTCTTGGCGGCTTAGGAACATAAACACAAAGCCTAAACAACGATCGTTTAAGTATGAGAAACATAGTCATTCGTAAGTAGTTTATGATTTGCCCGCTCCATATTTTTCACCCATTATCCTCAGCACTGAAATTCGTAGACCGAGATGTGCGGTTGTCAGTGCTGACCTTCCGCTATAGGAAGATAGCGTTGCTTAAGGGGAACATCTTACTACAATGACATCTTTGTACAATCAGAAATTGCCGTAAAAGACGATTTGACTGATGTTAAAACTTTCGGAGCTATTTTTCTATAGTTTTATTTATACATATATTAACTGGATTTTGATTAAGTATCGTGGTTTTATTATTTTCTTATTACCCTAGTTCCAAGCTTTTATTTAAACCGTAATCTGTTACTATAGCATCTTATACTCATAAACTAGAACCACTTACTCGTGTACAGCAATACTTCTACTTAGGACCTTAGATCCATTGCTTTTCGTCTTATATTAGTCTAAGTGACCAGCCTGGGATGATAAAACCTCAAGAAACAATCATTCCGGTCAGAGTGGCTCAACTCGGTCATTATGATAGGCAAGTCTGACCATACATCTAATTGGAAGTTACGGTTTAGCTTAGTGTGGAATTCTCGAGTGAACATAATAATCTCAGCAGTCACTCAGAAATTGATTGTCATTTTTAATCATATGCTTTTATAATTTGTGAAAATAAGTATTTTTCATAATTATGTAGTTTTTTATTTAACGCCTAACAAATTCATTTAACCGTAATCGCAGAATGTTGTATATCTAATGGAAACTTGATTTTACATCGTCATTTCTAAGTTTATAAGTAATATGGATTTAAAAGTTTTATCACTGTGAGCAGATAGTTGGTGGGATGTAACAGAATTGGGCTTTGGTACTACACTTCTTTTAATAACCTAGTTATTAGGAATCCCTTGCTTCTGTATAAAACGTCCCATCATTCAAATTGTGCAGCAGAATAGTAAATCGTATGCATCCATACGTTAAGTAGATTTATGAGCCTGCTATCTTGAATATCAGATAAGTATTAAATAATTGGAATAAATCAGGTCAATCACGGACTACTGTTAGCACAAGCCTGTAAAGCAGTAGAACATCAATCTTTATCATAAAAAAGCTGAGGGAATAGTTTAAGAATATGGTTCATGTCAAGTAGACTGATTGACATGGTTTACATCTTCAGATGCTAATCGATATGGTGTGCGGTATTCGCTAATCAAAATTTCTGATGTTAACTTTTTCAAGCTTGTCTGCTATCGCGACTGCAGCTTAGCGTTTTCAACCAGTGATTAGTTCTATCCGTCACAATGGACCCTGTGCTAACGTTAGTTACACTATTATTGGTCGTCAATCTGCAATTTGTTCTCTATCTCCAGCGTTGAGTCTGGAAGAGAAGTCAGCAGCCAAACTATTATTATTATTGCTATTACTGTTATTATTATTATCATTATTACTTCAATCACCTGACCCAGCTAACCGGCATCTATCTCAAATACTCATTAGCTTTTATACTGTCAAACCCTACAGCATTCCAAACAAGAAATACTTTAGGCACGATTATATCATAAGTGGCAGAGAGCAAAGCAAATAGACTATTGTGTCATATGTGTTACTTTGTGAAGTAAGCTCTAAAGTTATGGTTTCATAGTTCGTAATGTAATGTGTACATTACAGAGTCACCAGTTATCTTTAACCAAGTGGGGTTTTGAAGGTAACATTTAGAATAAAATATGGAGTTTTCATTTTTTTGTTTGACACGATAAAATGGTGTATATGTCACAGTTTGCTACTCAATCTTATAACTAGCGCTGATGAATCCATTATTCGATTGTTAGTTAGTTGTCTGAAGGATTTTGATTTTTTTGTCGTAATCATAAATTTTTATGCTGCTAAGTATATGTGCGTATATCCGTTAATGCCTTTTTTGTATTAAAAAATTACCAAAGATATATTTTTTCATTGTTTTTCATATTTCTAATAATTTTAAAGAAATTATACTCCAAGTGGATTTTAGAAGATCATCGTGGACTAGTCGATGTGTTACAAGACTTGAAATCATTTCGACCACCAGCTGATCTTTTGTTGGAGTTGTTGAACCCTCTAAAACCAAGATTGTACAGTATATCATCGTCTTCATTAGTTCATACAAATCGAATACATATAACTGCTGTTATAGTAAAATACGAAACAAACTCAGGTCTGTATTCATGATTCTCAAGGATTTTTGAAGGAGAGAATATATTTAATTTATTTTGCGTATTAAATTAATTAATGGTTTACTTAACTTAGTATACACGTTTTCATACTTATGAGACATAGTTTTCTGGGATTCAAAGCGTAAAGTTAGTGTTTTGTATGCATTTCGCACATGTGAGGCTCAAGATAATGCTTTTATATCTAGGGATCGGATTTAAATGACAAAGTCTCCAGCTGATACTGTAATTTTTGTCGAAAACTTTGTTTTTATTACTCAGTCCGTGGTAGAATTCATATTTAACAGCATCCGGGTTGCTATGCATTGGGATATACACAAAGAAGACCAACTGTCATCATACCGTTCGTTTTGCATGTTAATTAAACTTCCTGCCTTAACATCATACCAATTAGTGTTCATATTAGCTCTAGTTAATTCTTATGCATTCGGTTTTGGTGCTTAGTCTAACTTGTTTAAAAATTCAATGGTACGTTGCCCTGCTAAACGTAAATAAAGTGTACTTTTAAGATGACAGTTGAGTAGCACATTAATATTAGCTTATTTGTCTGTTAAACGTGAGATAGAGCATGTATCAATACCATACTGTGTCTTGATTTATAACGAGACTTGTCTATTGCTAAATATACATGAGAACACGAACTTTGAAAGTGAAAAACTTTAATGGCAGACTCGGTTTTAGAGTAACTGGATCGGATATTTCAGTAGTTGAAGAAAACATGAAAAGCAAGTATTCAATATCTCAATAAGGTTTTTATTAGAAATGAACCTATTAGTTGTAATGTAATTGATGTTTTTGTAGGTATGTTTATAAAGCAAGTGATCGGTACTTTCTCATTCTAGATGGAGGTAGCTTGTCGGTGTTGTATGTACGTTGGAATGATAAACCCTGTGATTAGTCTCCGAACAACTGAGTCAGCTTTCATACTAAAGGAATATTTCACTGACCATTTCTGTTTTTGAATGGTTTAAAGTTAAAGTGAAGATGAGTTTAAAACTTGAAGACAATTAAGCTATATAAATACTATGACAAAAGAGACGGTTAAATAACATAATATAGCATCCGGAAGAGGATAAATAATACTGGTCTCTATATTCTTCATTTTATCCCCGAGTGTGTTATTGGTAATCGTCGACTGACTGAAACTACCTACGAACCTGCCCTCTATTCAGCGACCTACATGTAAATTAGAAACCTGAAGTTTCTAATAAAGACCCATGTTATGTCTAGCTTTTAAGTCAAGCAAATTCTTCTGTTTGGTTGCTTGGACAGCGTCACAACCATCATGCTTGTCTCTTTTGGATATATGAGATAGAAATCATGAATAGCTGGATACTATTTAGTACTTTAAGATCAATTTAAGCGAACTCAGTATCATACGCCAAGATTATCATATCACTTCTCTTTGTATTTTCAATATACATTCTCCGATTCCTGAAATTTTTGTGGAATTTAAACCTATGGAACAAATCTACGTCCTTGTATCATTTAAATTTATATACTAACTAGTAATTACGATTATACAGTATAGAATTTTCATGATTTTCTGTAGCACGTTGATAAACATTGGAAGTCACTGAAAATAGTTGATTTCACCAATCTATAATTCCTATATCATTATCTAGTTGGATTCTCAACTCTGCATTATTATTGAAGCGTTTCACACTGTCATGACCAAAATAATTACTTTCCATTAACTTTCTAATAAGCAAAGTGAATTATTTTTAAAAATTTAATTCCAGTGTTTGTTTTACGAATGTTGGGTATATTGTAGCCTAGCAAAAATATTTCTAATTTTTTGTGATTTATCAAAATAATCTTTTCTGGTATCATTGTTTTATTGTTTGTATGTTCAGGACGAATATTCAAAGGACTAGCTTCTAACTGGCTGAAATCGTTGCAGCCAACAAACAATCAGCGACACTTGAAAATACCTGTCGCGATTCATACCAGTAATTTTAACTTGCCGCGGAGTCGTACAATCCCAGTCATTATGGTAGCTTCTGGCACAGGACTGGCTCCGTTCCGTGCATTTATCCAAGAGCGCTTAAAGATGGCTCACGATAAAGGTGACCCACAGTTTGAATTCACTGGTGTTCCCTATATGCATTGATGTATTATTACTTGTAGCGTAGATCAATTAAATGTTTAAGTTCAAACTCGTAGGATGTATAGGTAATTAGTCATGAAATCTAAAATTATTGGTGCGATTTTACATAGAAGAAACACCAATTTTATCACTGAAGCTTGTGATTTTCCGTTCTTCACACTTTTGGGACCAGCAGCTTAACCATTCTATTTCACCATACGGGATTATTGTACATGTGTCCTAATATTGTTAAAATAGTATTTATGCTGTTTCTGGTCAATAGAGGTAAGGAACCCATCTGTAATGCCATCTTTATCAAAAATTTCCTGATAGAAATGCGCGTGATTAGTTGCACTATGTCAAGGGTTCAATTTAACTGAGTTAGGGTGTGAATATTGCTCAGACCGATTCTTTGAGTTTAGATGTTATGTGGGAACTTCTCGACTTAATTGTCTCATTTCATAGTCTAAATGATAATAATAACAATAACCTACTAAAACTATATTGACTTTGTTACTTGCTTACTTAAAATCAGGATTGTTCTGTACTGATTATTTAAATATCGCTAGTTACAGAAAAGTTGATTACTTTTCAATTAATTGATAGTCCCCATCAAATATTGAAGATGATATTCTTATGTGACTATATCATATAGCTCGTGAAATACAGACCATTAGTTCGAAAATCTATTGTTAATATATATAAATGTTAACAATAAATGTTTAATGTTGGTTTATTTGTAGTTTTAGTGACTAAATTTATCATAGTCCTATTAATAAAAAAACTAACCAGAAAAATACCCTATTACGTACTGAATAACCTTTTCTTGAATGTATTAGGACAATCGGAAATAGTGAGATTCAGTCTAGTATAATTGTATACCGTAAATCTGATACATCTGCCTATGTTTGCAGCTAGTCGTATTTTATCATTTTCTTCACTATTTTTTATGATAAACAATGTATGTCTATTTTGTAGTTGGCAAGACTGGACAGATGGTGTTATTTTTCGGTTGCCGGCATGAAAATGAAGATTTTATTTATTCAGACGAATTAAAACAAGCCTGCTCTACTGGCCTACTTGAAATGTTTACCGCTTTCTCACGTGACTGTCTTGATGGTAATAAAGTTTATGTTCAGCATAAGGTGCTTGAGATGGGTAACATGGTGTGGAAACTTTTAGATGAATGTTATGCGTACATTTATGTATGTGGGTAAGTAATTTTGAACTTTGCTCAACAACATTTGAAGTGTGTTGTGAAGAAGTTATGAGATCTGTTGTTATTTAACGGCAAGTGTTGTGAGGTAACTGCAGTATATATTTTATTACCGAAAAAAGTATGTACATTGGTCTGTAAAGTATTATTTACACTAGATTTTTTGGAAATTCCAATTCAATGTCATATAAATATCAAATACAGTCTGTTGAGATTGTGTGAAGCTTCAAAGACTATAAGCTTTTCGTAATCTTTTAAGATTCACCGTGTATTTACTTTCAGAAAAAAGGAATCATTATACAACTGGAATCTTAGGTTTACATACGCTGTTTCCATATGCTACATTCATAAAGTGCTCCGAGATGATAAACGTCAAGTCCCTTGTAATTTAGTAATTAATCTTTTTCCTTATTAATATTTAGATTTTTATAGGTAACTTAAATTGGTTATCCTTTTCATATAATCCAATATTTTCCTATCAACTGTAGCTTTGTTCAGTTTTTACTTCTTTCACGCTGGAGGTGCTTTACTAATATCATTGCTTTGAGCTATCAGTTTTAAACTCCACAAATTACGTCTAAATAACCAAGTTTTCGAATGTGTCTTATTTATATTCGGAAGCCTTTCAAAAGATCTAGTTTAACTATGTTATCGGAATTCTATTCATAGCTCATTGATCATCGTCATTCAAATTACGTCTATAAAGCAAGATTAACCAATGTTTTTTAGATAACTTTAGGTGGTTTATAATAGGGATTACTTGTGCAACTGCTTATCTTAACCATTAGTCTGACCTAAATATGCTTTTCGACATGTTTTCTAGGGATACCGCTGGTATGGTGCGTGACGTCCATTTGTGTTTAATCGAATTATTAGTACAACGGTCCAACTTAACAAGAGAAGCAGCAACCAGTTATGTACTGAACCTACGAAAGCAAGGACGATATCGTACCGATGTATGGAAGTAATTGTAAATACGCCTCTGAATAATATGTGCAGTGTAACACGTTTTTGCATGAACCTTTATTGATAACCCCTATTTAATAAAGTCTTGTTAAATTGTCTAGAAATTTTTATCTACGTATACTACTTTTACTTACTTACGTTTGTTACCCCTCGTAGAGGAGCATAGGCCACATACTAGTATTCTCCATCCAACCCTGTCCTGGGCAATTCTTTCCAGTTCTTATTCATCCTTTTCATATCTGCTTCTATTTCCTGGCGTAATGTGTTCTTTGACCTTCTTCTTTTCATCTTACCTTCCGGATCCCAAGTTAGGGCTTGTCTCGTAGTGCAGTTTGGTGATTTCCTTAATGTATGTCCGATCCTCTTCCAACGCCTTTTCCTAATTTCCTCTTCAGCTGGAAGCTGGTTTGTTCTCTCCCACAGAAGACTGTTGCTGATAGTATCCGGACATAATGTTCTCCTGTCCATACTGCCAAACGCCTCCTTATAAACAATGAAATTGATGTATAGTGAGGAGTTCCACTCAACTGACTGTCCTGCCATGATCCGTAGTGTCACAATTTGGTCTGTGCACGACCTATCCTTACGGAATTCAGCCTGTTGATCTCGAAGTCGGACATCTACTGCGTCTTTCATCCGGTTCAGCAACACTCTGTTGAAAACTTTTCCTGGTACTGACAGTAGTGTGATGCCTCTGTAGTTCTCACACTTGCTTTTATCTCCTTTCTTTGGTATCTTGACGAAGTATTCTCTTTCCAGTCCATCGGCACTTGTTCTTCCTCCCAAATCTTCTTGAACAGAAGGCGAAGTACATTTGCAGTTACTTCAAAGTTTGACTACAGTGCTTCAGCCGGTATATTGTCAGGTCCTGCTGCTTTCCCATTTTTGAATTCTCTGATGGCCATCTTCACTTCGATCGTTGGTGGAGTGACAGATATAAGGTTTGTGTGTATTGCTTTGATGTCCGGTGAATCAAATGGAGCTGATCTATTCGGCAGTTCCTCGAAGTATCCTACCCATCTTTTCTTTTATTCTTGAATCTCCGTGATTTTTTTTCCATTTTTGTCCTTGACTGGTCTCTCTGGTTTACTATATTTACCTGCTAGTTTCTTCGTTGTTTCATATTCCCTTCTCTTGCAGCTCTTTTCGACGTCGTTGCTAATTCTCCTATGTATTTTTGCTTGTCGGCTTTAATGCTCTTCTTTACTTGCTTGTCTGCTTCTGCGTACTTTGCTTGCGCCTTGACTTTCTCTGCTCGTGTTCGACTGTTGTTAATTGCTGTCTTCTTGTTCATCCTTTCTTGAATCTTGTCCAGGGTTCTCATAGAGATCCATTCCTTATGATGACGCTTGTTGCGACCCAGCACCTCCTGACACGTTGAAGTTAATCATCCTTTGATCCCTTTCCAGTTGTTCTCCATCGTAGTTTCTTGTTCTTTCAGTTGATCCTGTAGAGGTTGGAACCTATTGTTGAGAGTTATCTTGAATTCGTGGAGCTTGTCAGTATCTTGAAGGAACCCTTGTAATGTCGTTCCCCAGTTGTCCAGTATTTTTTTAGCTTCAGTTTCATCTTGGCCACAAGTAGATGGTGATTTGAAGTTGTCAGCTTCTCTGCTGGTTCTCACATTTCCCATTGTCCTTCGGAATCTATCTGATTCTCTGTGGCGTCGTCCGGTTAGATCCATTTAGCTTTGTGTTTGCGTTTGTGTGGAAATATTGTGCCGCCTATAACCAATTTGTTGAATGCACATGGATTTGCAAATCTCTCCCCATTTTCATTTCTCTCTCCTAGTCCATAACGTCCCATTATATCTTCATATCCTGTGTTGTCCACCCCGACTTTAGCATTTAGATCTCCTATCAGGATGGTCAGGTCCTTTCGTGAGTACTTCGCTATAATTGATTGCAGCCTTTCATAGAACTGATCATTATCATCGTCGTTGCTATCATTGGTGGGTGCATAACATTGTGATCCTTCTTTGTTCTGAATGATGCTTTTTCGATAATGTAATAAGAAGACGAAGATTATCAGAACTATGTGATATATTAGCGCAATACATTTCGAACAATCTGATCACACATATACTTGTTAAGAACATTTATATATAAAAATAAAAGGTCAACTAGACTGGTAATAAAGTTAAGAAATAGACAAGGATAATAATGATAAAATAATGTGAAAACAATTTGACACCTAATCACTCTGGATAATAAGCATATATTACCAGGGTAGGTTTAAAGAGAGAACAAACTGTTTTTGAATACACAAAGGGGGGTTGAATTTTCGTATGGCTAAGGCTTCAACAAACCTTAGTATACGCCCTTTTACACTTTTAAACAACACCACAAAAGCCGAGTTTAGATCAATCTTATGACCTGTTTCGATTATATGTTTAGCAATAGAGGATGATGGATGTTTATCCTCTACTCTTATTGGGTCATTCGACTGTATTTGTTTTTGCAACCATTTTGGTACATGTTCACCCACCCTAATTTTCAGATCACGATTGCTCCTCCCTAGTATGTGTGACCACACACACATTTAAATTGGTAAACGCAGTGGGATGTGACACAATCGTTTTCATGTCGTCTAGGCTTTGAATGAAGCATGGACCTTGTTCTTTCTTTGATCATGACCTTTGCTGCACAATATGTTTTGTTGATGACTGATTTAAGCCTTTGTTTCAGTAAAAGGCTATTTGAATCACCTCTAAATGGTAAGGTGAAGTAAACAGGCTTTTTCTCTACCAAGACTACAGCAGGTCTCACTGTGCCCATAACTTTCCATCTATTGATAAATTTAGGTGGATAACCATTCCCGATTAATGTCATGGTTAACAACTTAACATCGTCATCAATAGCGTCGTTTGTGCAAATACGACGAAGCCTGTTAAAAAGGCACTTTACCAAACCACGTTTGTATTGCACAGGGCAATAACTATAGTAACTAAGATATTGACCCGTCCACGTCGGTTTTCGAAAAATGAATCGTTTTATTGAGCCATCTTCTCGTCTGCTTAGAAGTACATCTAGGAAGGGGAGTTGGTCGTTCTTCTCCTCTTCGCATGAAAGACTGATATGGTTTTGGATAGTGTTAAATTTATTCAATAGGCAGTTTATGTCTTCCATTCTTTCGCCAATTACTAAGATATCGTCCACATATCTCTTATAAAGTGACATGTTTTCGATTAAGTCTTCAGATAAATTTTCCACATGCTGCCCTTGCTTTGCCAATCCTCGCCTTTACATCTGCATCCGATCCTCCTTGTTTATCAACGATGCTCCCCAGGTACTTGAATGTTTCCACCTCTTCCAGAGTTTCGCCGTCAAGTGTGATTGGGTTGGTGTTCTCCGTGTTGCATTTGAGAATCTTGCTTTTTCCTTTGTGAATGTGGAGACCTATCGATGCGGAGGCTGCTGCTACATTTGCTGTCTTCATCTGCATTTGGTCGTGTGTATGAGAGAGGAGAGCTAGGTCATCTGCGAAGTCCAAATCATCTAATTGATTCTGAGCTGTCCATTTTATTCCGTATTTCCCCTCAGATGTCGAATTCTTCATAATCCAGTCAATCACTAGAAGGAAGAGGAATGGGGAGAGTAGACAGCCTTGTCTGACTCCGGTCCTTACTGGAAATGCATCTGTCAGCTGTCCTCCATGCACCACTTTGCACTGTAATCCATCGTATGAGTTTTGGACAATGTTGACGATCTTCTGAGGAACTCCATAGTGTCGAAGAAGTTTCCATAATGTTCTCCTGTCCACGCTGTCAAACGTCTTCTCGTAGTCAATAAAGTTGACGTATAGTGATGAGTTCCACTCAACTGATTGTTCGACGATGATCCGTAGTGTCGCAATCTGGTCTGTGCACGACCGATCCTTACGGAATCCAGCCTGATGATCCCTTAGTTCGGCGTCTACTGCGTCTTTCATCCGATTCAGCAGCACTCTGTTGAAAACTTTTCCTGGTACTGATAACAAACTGATACCTCTGTAGTTCTCGCATTTGCTCAGATCTCCTTTCTTTGGTATCTTGATGAGATATCCTTCTTTCCAGTCCGTTGGCACTTGTTCCTCTTCCCAAATCTTTTTGAATAGAAGGTGAAGCATGTTTGCAGTTATTTCAATGTCTGACTTCAGTGCTTCTGCTGGTATATTGTCAGGTCCTGCCGCCTTCCCACTTTTGATTTGTCTGATGGCCATCTTGACTTCTTCGATCGTTGGTGGAGTGACATCTATTGGAAGGTCTGTGTGGGCTGCTTCGATGTTCGGTGGATTCAATGGGGCCTGTAGCTCTTCTAGAGTTACTGCCGGTCCCAAGCCCGGGTAAAGGAGGAGGGTTGGGCATGGGGTTAGCGACCCCATCCCGTAGAAAAGCTAACTCGCTAAAAAAACGCTAACCAGAAAAAATAATTCAAACCAAATAAACTCTGCTCTGGGAGTTGAAGGAATAATGACGTCTCATGATGAAAGTCGAAATTCTTCGGAAGTCACGAGACCGATGCACCTTCTAACAACCAGAGCAACACTCTTTATAGGTACATGGAACGTCCGGACGTCTTTTTATTACATTATCGAAATTTATCAAAGGGACTTATTGCTTTAAATGATGCTTTTATTATCCTGGGTCAATGAGATTCCCATCCTACACGTGCATTTCGTGCTTCTCTGGACAGCATTAGAGCAACTCCCTGAGTGTGTGGAGCATTTCCCTCTTCGTGACCGGAGTACAGCAGCATCTCTTCCGTACCTAGCCTTTGCTGACCAGCTTGGGTTCAATGGGTTTCTCTGATTCCGAGTACTGCCAAGTTGTATCTCCTCATCTCCATTGCTATTTGACTGGTCTTTCCTGTCTCCCACATTGTCCGGACGTTCCATGTACCTATAAAAAGTGTTGGTCTGGTTGTTAGAAGGTGCATCGGCTTCGTGACTTCCGAAGAATCTCGGCTTTGATCCTGAGGCGTCATAATTCTTCCTTCAACTCCCAGGACAGAGTTTAAGTGGTTTAAATTATTTTTTTTCTGGTTAGCGTTTTTCTAGCGAGTTAGTTTTTCTTCGGGATGGGATCGCTAACCCCAAGCTCAATCCTCCTCCTTTGTCCGGGGTTGGCACCGGCAATAACTCTAGAAGATATAGAGGCGGAGTTTTTATGTACTTATAACTTGGGTGTAATGTTTCAGAGTTTACATCAGCTGTCACAAGCTGCAAATTCCAGCTTGGATCAAACAGATAAAGCCTCGAACTTATGATTATTCATTAAAATACACTTGTAACAGTAACGATTTCGAGGTATGGCAACTTAGACCGATGCATATATGTGCCTGGTCCTACATTATAACTGACTGAATGACTAACGATTTGTAATAGTGTCCTTTATAAATATATATTCAAGAAAAAACACAACAAATCGTTCCCGTACTGCCGTTGAACTCATCTTTTAGTAGGCGTGTGTCATAGGTTATGATCGATGAGGATTTCCCCACAAAATCATAATGGTATGATAATTATTGTCATGTTAAAAGAGATGATAGTGATACTATCAGAGTACATATCGAGGAAAACCGTCGTCATGAGCAAGAAAAAAATGTTGAGTAGTTAGAGTTGACGAAAGTACAAGGTTTTATAAGTGTTATTCCGCTGAGTTGTCGCCTACCGCTAGTTGGAATGGGCACAAAAATACAGCGATTGTAGACGCCATATGATGGCTGAAGGTGGGTCGGGTTGGTAAAGATATCTTTGCTCTTTGTGTTGTTGCGAATAATGAATTCCCTAAGCTTATCTCCCAGCTTGTTTTCGTTTACACGTTTCAGATTATTAGCATACTCTGGATCATTACTGATACTTAGTAGCTAATTTTCCTATTGCGTTATTGTTGAGAGTGTTTACTTAAATTTGTTCGAAAAACGTATTGCTGTGAAGAGATATAGAGAAGCGATGATGAGCAACAGAAACTACTTCCTAGGGCATCGCTTCACTTAATTCAAAGTCTCTAAAGTACTAACATTTAGTTTTTTCCCTGTTTCATTTTATGTTATAAGCTTTCGTGTAACGTACATATCAATGTAATAATATTCATTCCAAAATTACTGAAATTCTGACGTAGCCTTTGCACTCCATCTTTCTACTCTAATGCCCTAGATTAGACGCAACTGTGTTTTTCCTATTCTTTGTGCGTTGCTGTTTTGCTAGTCAGACATTTAACCTTCTGTCCAATTCTTACCTTTCCTATCTTGCCAACCTACTAATCAGGTAATAGGTCAGTTAGGGATTAGTTTTCTTTTCTCTGCTCTCAACACCCTCCAGTCACAATTGAACTCACGCATTCGCTAGCCTCAAGGTTGTACTCAATAACCCGTCGCTTCAATACCTTAAACTAGGTTGAGGCAATTCTCTTTCGTACATTAGTGGACAGCCGGATCAATGACATAACACATATACCCTCAAATTACATGAAATTCTGTGTTTCATCGACGTTGTCAGACAGTTAACAAAATATGCTTTATGTAATTTTTAATGGGTAGTATAATCTCACGTACACATGAATGATAGCGAATTAAATAAAGTTGTTTTTGAAAAACAATTATTTATTTTACTTCCAACAATGGTTGTTCTGATTTCATATTTACGAATGGAATAGTTCGACCGGTGCAAAAGTAAGTGATCATTTTCTTCATTGATATATCTTCAAATATATTGGAGGTTGTATAGTGATAGATGATGTTCGCAAATATTGCAGCATATTCAACTGCAGAGAACACAGTATGAGCTAGAATAGAAATACCAAAGATGGTCACAATCTCTGATTGTCCCAATATATAAGAAGGGGCCAAAATCATCCTGTGATAACCATAGAGGGATTAGTCTGACTAACATAGTATCTAAAATACTAGCCTCAATAATTATCGGGCGCCTAACTAAGAATCGTGAACTACAAACACATTGTCGCTAACTAACTGACTGATACAAATCCAATAGGTTTGAAATACATGGTTCATGTCGCGGAGGCTGAGATTTATGTTCTGGACTCAACAGGCAGGGCAAGGCAAGGAGAAGGACCGATAAGGACTGTAGACTGCTCGTACGGGATTACGTATCATTGGTCCGGTCGATAAATCACTGTTCTCTAGTTGGCGGTATCATTACGTTACATATTAGTGGTGCACAAGGTCACAAGTTATAACAATAAAAATTCTACATTTACATTACAAAACGAAAATTATTGGGAATCTCTCCCTACGATGAATAAAATAACTAGAACATTAGATAGGTATTGTAGTTTATTAAACGTACCATATGGAGGACAAAATGTCATGTGAATCCAGAAACACAGTATTAGAACCAACAAACAAATTAAGTAGAAGATCATAAGACATATCTTCTTTCGTAATATGTTACTCTGAAAAACGACGAAATCATAGGTATATTTAGATAGTAAAATGTAGGTGCGTGAAACATTTATGTAGGGCAAGTGATTCAAAAAGACATGTACATATATGGCTGGAGGTTAAGAAACAAACAACCTAATCATCATAACATACACTTCTTCAGTTTCTTCATAAATACAAGTTCAGGTATACTACCTCCTACAAGCGATTTCGACTTGGTTGAGGCTCAACTTCGACGTACTTTTTTTTACACGTATAGTGTAATCCAACCACATGAAAAACAGTTGTTTATAAAAACGCGTTATTGTAGCAGCATCCCGGTCTTAATCACGAAAATACTTTAGACCAATTTGATGTGTGTTCAGAGTTTGCTAAAAGCCATAGATGTTGCTTTAACTTATGGAAGCAACACTTGAACGTTAAGAAGTTTCAAATTAGCTTCTCGATGCTTTTAAACCTTACCTGGGTTTTAGTTAAACTTACATCAGGAACTCGTTATATCCACAGAGTGGTGTCAAAAAACGACTTGGTACGCATTTGTACAAAGAAGGTACTTGCAATTGAGTTTGAAACTAATTGCCGAGCTAAATTACTATCAACCGTCTAAAAAGTGGGAGTTGGTGGGAATTTATAACTGTCCAAGTTACCACACCTCAGCAAAAGAGGAAATATCAGCTGCAAACGAACTGTGATTGAAATTACTTTATATCTTTCTTTCTATGAACTAATTCTTTCTCCCTGTATCATACTCTTATATGCAATCGCTTTGTGTATATTACTACCACTGAAAAAACTGCTTCTGTGAAATTGGTGTTCACCTTCTTGTGATAATGAGGTGGGGCAATTTGGACCGTTGCATATAAGTGCCTGGCACTACGTTGTAGTTGACTGACAAAATAGATTTCCGGAGCGATAATAAGCCCAACATGTATATGCATATCAATATGCCTGATTATAGATAACATAATCTAACTACTAATGAGTACGTTTAGTGCATAAAGCTTTTGTGATAGTAGGATAGCTAATTAGGTGGCATGATGACTAAAGCACTCAGCCCACAATTAGGAAGTCACAAATCTGAATCTCCCTACCTCATTCTGCTCGAACCAAACACTATAAGTGTCACAAGAAAATATGGCTCGAAGGCATCCATTATATTAGAAGAATGATTTATAGTTTAGAAGTATTTTGACGACATAAAATATATGGGATATGAGTGAGACTGTTCTTAATGTCGATTGTATAAGTCGAGACGACTTTATTGATGTCATATCATGAATGCCAACCGTCTAACAGTACGCTGAGAATTCATATCGAGTTTTTATACACTAGATGGTTTCATTCGCTCATTGCACTACAAAACAATATATTCACCAAATGAATAGCTTAACTACGTGAGCAAACCACTCAAATATATGACGACACCGTCAGGTATAATTTTCAAAGTTAAACTACTAGCAAGACCGAATAGAAAAACATGATACATATTTAATTGCTATCAATTAACTCAAGTTATTTTTGGATATTTAGTTAGATTATTCTTACCAGAAAAGCATTTTCGGTGGTTTTAAGCCTGAGTTGTAATACGTAGACATCTGTTATCATATAGACCACCGAGAAAAAAGCAAAAGCACAGACGTAACGGCGATGCTGAACTAAAAGGAATTATTGTTAGGTTGACGCTCACTATAGTTATCAGATGAAGAGACAATGCTAAGCATATTGAGTGAAAATATTTCAATAAAATTTGAGAGATATGGCAAATAAGAAATGTATATATGACCTTTGCCTGATAATGAGTTAAACAAGTTGCGTGAATTTATGTAACTATTTAATAGAATCAATAGCCTGTAAGCCGAAGTAATGAGAATTGATATGATCCACATCACCCTGTGTGATCCATTACCACTAAGAGTAGCACTTACAGAAGGTAGGAAATTGGTATCCTACAGAACTGAAGTTTCTGGTGTAATAAATCAATTTACCGTGCAATCAATTCTACTACATGGATTCGTAGTCATACACCTAAGAATACATATTATCAGTGAAACAGCTGGAAGTGATGAGACGACGACACAGATATGCCGAAACGTTACGCAGAAATCCATCCAAATTAGTAGCAAGGGACGGGATAGGTGTTAGTTCAAGGTCAAAAATGAATTACTGCGCACTTGCATATATATTTTTCTCTTTGATTTCAAAAACTTTGATGTGCAGCTGAAACTTCTGAATTTACATAAAAAAGCTGATGAAAAACTTTCTGACAAGAGTTATATAATTGTCAGATCGTTTTTTTAAAGAGATCACGAGTATTTGAAATGTGACAACACCATAACCAGTTTCAGTTTCAGTCTGGAAAGTAACAGCTTTTATAACCGAAATTCGCCAACCCAGTCAGAAGCGATCAGGTTCGAAGATATATTTGGTAGGCCATCAATACATCAAGAAGTAACCAATTCAAGCTGGCTAGCGGTCGCATGTTATGTTTAGCATGGCGTACCCCCTCGATATTTGGTGGGTATGCGTGACTATGCCCCTTCATCTATGTGAGTCCATTAAAACTAATGTGTCCAGCACTAAATGTTGACGACTTACGGAGTTATTGGTTTTGAAGATTTATTACCCCCCACAGTTTTTCAGGTAAGACACTGGTATGCTCCCAAATCTCACGATCTTGGTCAAATCTCGGGGTTTTTCCAAAGTCCAATGACAATTTTTATATAATTTGTAGTTTTCTTTAGGGTTTTTGGAGATTGTAGTAAAACCCTAAAATCTGTGTAGCGCAGTTTTAGGAACAAATATTTAATAGTCAGCGTTAAGTTCAAGCTTTTTACAACAATATTACAATAAACTATAATATTTTATTATATGATAATCAAGTTCAGTCTGTACTGCTGTATCAACCCATGGGGTTCATTTTAGTATATCAAGTAGACACGAGACAAAGAAGTACCTGTCGGACGCCACTTTTTCAAAAAACATAATACCTTGTGTTCACTATAACGAACCTCAATTATTGTTACTGAGGATGAAACGGATATTCTAGTTTTACAACTAGCTACCAGTAGCACCTTCTATATTCGATCATTCCCAGTGAGATAGAAATCAGAAGTCAGACGAGGAGAGGTAGGAAAGATATATTTGATGCGTTACCAATATATCGAGGAACCTTTACTATAAGCTGGGTAATGAACGTAGGAGCAGTGTCCCACGCCGAGTTGAAACGTGATCTGGTACGAATGCATGACCGAAAGCCTTCAGCTAAACAAATCCACTTAAACAACGTGGTCAGCAACCAATGTCGAACACAAAATGAGCTATTGATTTTGGGGAATTATTTACAGCTACACTACTTTCCAACATGACTGCAGCTAACGACCACGCGCTATTTAAAAAGGACAGTGTTATTTTTCCCCTGTGTTTATTTTTTAGTATTGTTCGTTAAATTACACATCAATACTACTGTTTATGCTTTAATTGAGTGTTCTCACACTCGCTTAGTCGAAGCAAACTACAGGACATTTGGAAGCTGACTTGACATCATTTGCCTTGATTTCTCAAAAGCTTTTGATAGGGTCCACCATATATGTCTTATCAATAAGCCTAAGTGATTGGGTATCAAACCACCCTTAATTGACTGATTCGCTTCACATCTAAAAAGTCTGCATCTTAAATTCAGGGACCATGGGGTCCCCCAGGGTCGAGTACTAGGATAACTTCATTCCTGATTTATATTAATGATCTTCCACAACATATATCGTCTGACTTATTGCTTTTTTCTGATGATGTGAAACTGTGGAGCGAGATATGTCACCTATAGGATATAGTGGTACTTCAGGAGGACCTGACTCGACCTCAATGTTGGGCAAATGAAAACGGACTTACCTTCAACACTTCAAAGTGTAAAGTAGTCCATCTGCGACATGTTGCAGACTACATTTACAACTTCGGAAACTCCTTTCCAGAAGTTTTTGAAGTCGAAAAATATTTAACAGTGCTCGTACCCTATAACTTGAACTATGACAATGACTGTGACAAAAATGCCTTTCGAGCAAACCTTGCACTGGTAACATTGAAGCGCATTTTAGTCCAGCTAGTCGGTAAAACTTTCCACATAATCTTCAGCAGTTTGTCGCCCCCATTTATAGTGCGGAAATATAGTATTTCCTGCCTCTCTCCTATCGGATAAGGACAGTCTGGAGCGTCTAAGCATCTAAGCGGTGACCTAATGACTTACAGTATCCATAAAACTTCTGGGTATCTCCTTAAACACCTATCTAATATATATATATATATATATATATATATATATATTGAAAATAATAACTGGATAGTTCACGTCAGTCTTCAGGCATGATCAACTTGATATAAATAGTACCATTAGATGGAGAGAACAAACGTGTGATATAAAATTGTTTTAAGTTTGCCAGTTCAATCATTGTCAAGTAGTTTATTTATGACATGTATCACGGCAATCAAATGCATCAGCAGGGAACTTTTAATCTTTTCAAATTGGATAGCCTGTTGACCTTTGAACAGTGTTATTTAGGGTTATTGCCTGTTTCGATAATGCAATGGGAAGACGAAGTTTATCAGAATTATGTGATATATTAGCGCAATACATTACGAACAATCTGATCACACTTATATTTGTTGATAACATTTATATATAAAAATTAAAAGGTCAACTAGACAGAATAAGCTTAGAAAATAACTAAAGTACATAAAGACAATGTGATGACTACTCTGGATAATAAATAAGCATTATCAGGGTAGGTTAAGGGTAAGAACCAATTGTTTTTGAACACATAAAGGGGGCTTCAATTTCCGTATAGCCAAGGCTTCAATAAACCTTAGTATACGTCCTTGAAGGCTTTTGTACAAGACTACAAACGCTGATTTGATGTCAAAGTTTCGCAATGGAGGAAGATGTTTGTCCATCCTGTGATCTTATTTGACCATTGGAATTCATTTGGTCCTGCAGCCACTTAGGTATGTGTTCCGCCACCCTTGGCTATACGGAAATTGAAGCCCCCTTTATGTGTTCAAAAACAATTGGTTCTTACCCTTAACCTACCCTGATAATGCTTATTTATTATCCAGAGTAGTCATCACATTGTCTTTATGTACTTTAGTTATTTTCTAAGCTTATTCTGTCTAGTTGACCTTTTAATTTTTATATATAAATGTTATCAACAAATATAAGTGTGATCAGATTGTTCGTAATGTATTGCGCTAATATATCACATAATTCTGATAAACTTCGTCTTCTCATTGCATTATCGAAATTTATCAAAGGGACTAATTGTTTTAAGTTATTGCCTGTGCCTGAACGAATTAACTACAACTAGAGAAAGTAAAGTCAAAACAGAAAGCACGGAACAACTAAACAATGATTACCAAAATATGTGAGTTAGGTTTACCACTGTTCATGTTAGATATTATTCAAACAAGTTACGGTTTCTAGGGATAGTGTTAATGTAAAGTGATAGCAAGTAAGTGGTTTTACTTAGGGAATTCGCTAATAAGAATGGATTTTATCATATGGACAGATTGTGGTAGATTATTCCATAGTCCGGAAAACTTACAGGTAAGTTGATTCATATAGAGAGATGTTTCAGAATGTTTTTGTTTCGCTAGTGACAAGCAGTTACGAGTGTCGTGATGAGAAGTTTCTGAATAGTGCATTACTTGGTCGGATGTAAATGGTAGTTTGCTAAGTATGGTGAAGAAGAAGATAAGATTTGATTCGGGTTTACTCTTCCATAAAGGCTTGGGTCCAAGTTTATTACATCTACAATTATAAAACAAGGCACAATCAGTTCCAAGAATACGAAGCGTAAATCGATTCTGCACTGATTCCAGCACTCACCACTAAGAATAAACTCGCAGTATACCAAGACTGGCCAAACACAAATATACACATTAAAATATGTGATTCATTGTTAGAAAGCCTTCGAGCTATGTACCCTATAAGACGTTGAGACTTGGAAGGTTAGCTGCCTGTAATAACGAATTCCTTACAGATTTAGTGGCAATTTTTGTCAGGTATGTTATATATAATGAGTTTGTTCCGAGAGGTCATCCGCTTAGCAACTTCTCTAGCGATAAAATCAATAACAGATTCTACTCTGATAATGTCTTGATGTTTCGTAGGAACTACATCCTTTGACAATAGCTGTTTAAGGGGCGATAGTGCGTTTAGTTCTTGCTTAAGATCATCATGATTTAATAAAGAGCCCTCAAGTGACTCCACTTTAGAACGTTTATCGCTTTGTTGCTTATATATAGTGTCTAATTCACTCTTAATGTTGTCGATAGTTTTAGATCTTGAGGTATAACTCATTATTATAGACTGAGTCATCTGGCAGCAGGTGTAGAATAATTCAACTCCCAAAATTATCTGATTCAAAAGGAGTTGCATAGCATGAGGTATAGGAAATAACAGAATTGTTGTTATCTGAGGAATTACGGTTTTTCTAGGCCCGTTTTTTTGTCCGTCGACCCATTTTACTTGAAGGGTCAATTCTAATGTTATTAGTCAGTTATAAACTAGGATTCAACGATATATTGATACTTCATTATAGATATCGTGTAATCGTAATGCGAACTTCAAACGTACCGCCTGTATATTAGTTAGGTTAAGCTCCCAAACAAACCTAATGGATAACAACCAGAAACTGGTGACACAACAAAGCAGAGCAGACTGTATACACAACTTTACTCCATAAAAGTATTCAAATACTGGAAGTCCCTGACAGCTGAACTGGTTCAAGCGACTTCTCAGGAGTCCTTTAAGAGGCAACTTGATCTATTCTTAAGGACTTAAGAAAATATCTTACCATTATTTATCATAGCTGAAGGCGTGAGTCAATTGAAGCTAGACCGCCATGGAAAACCTGGAAACACTGGACGGCCGTTTCGTCCTATTATGGGACTCCTCAGCAATGCGCATCCACGAACCCGCTCTCGCGAGTGCAGGATCGTGGATGCGCACTGCTGAGGAGTCCCATAATAGGACGAAACGGCCGTCCAGTGTTTCCAGGTTTTCCATGGTGGTCTAGCTTCAATTGACTCGCGCCTTCAACTGTGACAAATACTAAATCTC